ATTGATGTTTTCTGGATACGAGCTTTAATTGTCATTATATCTGATCCGGGATCAGGGATAGGGTACTGCTTAAGGACAACTTTAGATGTTGCCTGTAACAAATGTTTGATCACGCGTGTGATTCGTACTCACAGGATCTGGCCAGCCGACTCGGGATGACCAACGGAGAATACGTGCGTCTCCAGAAGATTGTACTTCCATACAGGTGGCAGCAAGATATAGCCATTTGATGGGCTTGCAGGTGTTCCTCAATGTGCAACCAGCCCAGAACAACTTCTACGGGAAGGCGTCTTTCTTCAACAACCCCACGCCGTTGGTCAGTTGAAATATTTCCCTTTGATGTTCGTATTACGTAACTAACAGAAGTATATTCGAAGCGATTTATTAAAGCAATCGGCATTTAGATGTTTGATTGTCAAAACCAAAATTAATAAGTATTCAGTATGGGCCAATAAGTATCACACGATGAAAGCCAGCCTCGTTCTAGTACAGTATTGGCAATTACATGTTCTAAGTGTGAATATTGAGGACTTGTGCTCCACAGATGCTGAACTTGACATGGAACATGATTTTTCTCACCTTCCATGAATCCGACGACACCGACTCTGAGCGAGAACTGAATGGCGAACTGCGTCAGTTGGCCCACGAGCTGTACAACGTAACTTACGAACCAGGAGTCCAGGTAAACTGCTCGACTATTAGTGCAGTGAGTGGGCTGACTCATTTACCGGAAGAATAATAGTCCTCTCACAACCGGCAAAAGAAAATTCTAAGCAAGCGCCTCTAATTAACTCCATGTCTACGCGCGAGTACCTATTTCGCAGAACTAATTCACTCCTGGGTAAATTATACACAATCAGAACGGTGTGTAAGGTCATCAAGCGAGTGCGGAGATAAAATACCTTATTGACCTTTCTGCCAAAGTCAGATTGTAGCTTCGTAGTTGTAGAGAAAGGTCAACTAATCATAATTTACTAGCTGGTACTTAATTCTACATCTCGTTGCTTGCTATCACTACCCGTAGAGCCCTTCAAGTGGCCACCTATGTTAAGTCAATGCGCGACATACCTTCAAGTGGCCAGGCTGCAGTTATTTGGCCCCAGAACCGATCTTCTTCCAGTTTTTTGGTACAGGATGTTCAGCTCAACTTGCGCTTTACAGAGTAGTTGAAAATTTCAAAATCGGTTGAACCGTTTTTTAGTTATTTACGTTGTAAAAAACCAGTGACGATACGCTTAAGCCGCGCCACGAGAGCCACTACAATACGCCAGCTTATTTCACTTATCAACCACACGTGTGCGGATGCAGCAAGCACTCGCTTTATCTGAGCGGATATGAGCACAAAGGCAACCGGGATCAAACTAAGTTTTGAAAAGTCATTAAAACTTACAAAAAAGTAACAACAGAAACAAAACAATAAAAATCATAAATTAGTGGGCATGCGAAAAATCAGGTTAGTGAAAATAAAAATTTATAAGATAGTTAAGTATACCGGTTAGCAGGGATCGCTGAATTGATTTGTGGAAAACGGCGAGTACAAGTATGGGAACTGGAAAGGGTTTTTGATCATTGTTGTCGTACTGCTAACCGGTGTCCATTAACCTGTGAATTTTTATTTTCACTAACCTGTGAATTTTCGCATGCTCTCTAATTTGTGATTTTTATTGTTTTGGTTCTGTTGTTTTTTTTGTAAATTTTAAGGACTTTTTCAAAACTTAATTTGATCCCGGTTGCCTTTGTGCTCTTATCCGCTCAGATAAAGCGAGTGCTTGCTGCATCCGCACACGTGTGGTTAATAAGTGAAATAAGCTGGCGTAGTGTAGTCGCTCTCGTGGCGTGGCTTAAGCGTTTCGTCACTGGTTTTTACAACGTACAGCCCTGCCGGGCCAAGTTGGGACAGTCACAAAAAATTCCTGTTTTTTCACCAATGAAGTCTAAAATTTTTATTTAGCTGCTGAACGATAGCATTTGGTCTGTAGTACCTTTCAGTTTTTTATTTCGATGCAAAAAGCTGAAGTACAAGGAACGGGGGCTAATTGTTTAATTTAAATTTTAGTGCAAAAATCGCACAGCTTACTGAGAAATAATCAAGTTCAATCGAAAATAATTTTAAAATTGGCGAAGGTAAGGAACCGTCAACTAATAGCGTGGTTTTCTGACGGTCCTTCCCACATTTCATCTAAACACTAAAGTTCTCCCTAATGCGATCCGCGCTCCAGGCAACCGCATTTCTCTGTTGGTGCTCTTTAACATACAAGTCTATGGAAGGTTCACCTTCCTTCGAGGTGATCTCGAGTACTGATCGCGCCAGAATTTTCGGCTAACCTATAAAAGACACCTCATGGGTCACGCAATAGTTCCAGAAAACGTAAACGCAGAAATATCAATTGGTGCATTTCTTACAGCTGCAGTTATAAGCGGCCGAAAAATTACCACCACCCCGCCCCCTTAGTCGCTCCGTGGGTCTTTACTGCCGTACCAAACGCCAACAGTTTTAACACTGCTGGATTCGCAATAGAAAGTTACGCTAGGAGAGTTCAAATATGGAAACAAAGTGCCTTTTGGGAATTTTTCTGAATTTATTTTACGCAACTGTCCCAACTTGGCCCGGCACCCCTGTAAATAACTAAAAAACGGTTCAACCGATTTCGAAATTTTCAAGTACTCTGTAAAGAGCAAGTTGAGCTGAACATGCTGTACCAAAAAACCGGAAGAAAATCGGTTCTGGGGCCAAATAACTGCAGCCTGGCCACTTGAAGGTATGTCGCCCATTGACTTGACATAGGTGGCCACTTGAAGGTCTCTACGGATATGTTAAAGATGCGACAACAATAACATGCATTAATATGTAGCAGCAACTGCATTTCAGCACTCGTATTTTTTGTTACTGTTACTTGTTAGTACGCTATTTGCGCACTACAGCACTTAGTTGAAAGAGGGCAGTATTCCGCGAGTAATGGTTGTAGTAAGCGCGCGACAATTTTTTCCGAATAGTATGGTTTTTACTCGTAATGCATCCAGACGAATGGCTCCCTTTGCAGCCGCTGAGCAATTACCCGACGCGTTTGGCTTATACTTCCATCGAGCTAATTAGTGGGATCTTGGCCGACAAGCTGGATGAATATCACCGGCTGCCTGCTGCGCAGCGCGCTGCTTTCTGCGCGGGTGACCACCTGGCTTCGCTGCTCTTTAATCGCACCTTCAGCTTACCACACGCCACCGTGGCCGTTGGCCCAAGCGGCCGTTCTGCCATGGATGTCGACATTTGGATGTTCGATTCACACAGCCGGAATATGAGCGTAACGCATGTTTTGATCACGTATACACTTATTTCCCTGCTCTGACTGAACGGTTGAAGTTTGTATAGATGTTCGCGGTGTACCGTTCCGTTAGCGGAACTTTGGAGCCGAGGAACACGTCAGTTCGGGACTGGCCAACTGGAAGTACGCCGCTAGATGTACCGGTATGCGGTTTCTCCGGACGAGAAGGGCCCTGTCGCGACCACGGTATATTCCACCTCGTGTGACCGTTAAGAATCAGATCGCTAAAGCCTCCACCAAAACGGTGCAGGTTAATTGTTTGCAGCACGCTTGGGATCCGTCTTGACCGTCGCTCTTCCTGTGGCCGTTGGAGTTGCGGTGGTAATTCTAGGCGCATCCTGCGGGGCGCTCTTTGCAGTTCGGTAAGTGAGCTTTTGTTCATGAATCACCTATAGAGTACGTATATGTACTGACGATGCGGTTCATCATTGCAAAGAAGAGTGAGAGGCTTCAACTTGATATTTATATTCCAATTTGTGTTCATCCATAACATAATTCACATGCCTTTTCTGTGTCCGGGAAAAACCACACGTGCAAGCCGCTGTTAGCACATCTCCATTCTAATTGCTTATGCGGTGCTTCGAATGAGCTGCTGACAGTGAGGACTGAACAGTATCCAAACTAACAAAATCAGCTGTGCTTGCGATTACCGGTATAAAAACATCAATATACTACGTGGCCAGAACCCAGACACAATTTATTAGGTTGTGCTGTACAGACATACGACATACGTATCTGTACATACGAATGAAGGATCGAAATATCTATATATGTACAATCAAGCGTGCCGGTATAAATAACTATTTACCGAAGTAAGACTATTATCGAGTCCTCTCGGTTGTCGTTGCATATTACGAATTCTGGGCTGTTACAGAAAAGCGCGACGGAACGACCGATCTCGTTACTGGTGGCTGATCAACGAGAATGAGTGGAACGCTAGCCTTACCACGATTCGGACAGAATTGATCAATCCGGTGTCATGGAGAAACACGACCGTGTGGCTAACCACGATGGAGGGTCGCGACCGTTACGACCTGTCGTTACTAACGGGTCTTGTGCCCAATACGGCGGTTAGTGGAAACGTCTGTCTCGATTCCAGAGGGTGCACTCAGCCAGCTTGTAACTTAGATTTTGTACTGCGACGAGTTTTGTGTTCCGAATTTACACGAGGAATAAAGTGGAGAACACTCTGGTTGGCGTCCGGAATGGAACAGTGAAGCACCTTTACTATTGCATAATTTCTAGTTACAGTTGCTACCCTAAACAACTTCATTTTCCCTTTGCCTGATTTCTTAGCATCCCAATGTCAATGCGCTGCTGGGCATAGTTATGTTGCCGCATCAGGCCATCCTTATTTCGGACTACTGCAAACGCGGCTCATTGCTGACGCTCCTGGAAGTATTTCAAATAGACCAGGATTTCCAGCTGTCCATGGCCCGCGATCTTGCCAAGGTACGCCGCAAAAATAACCTTTCCATAATTACCCGTAATAAAGTGATTATTCAATAGGGTCTTAGTTATCTGCACAGCAACATCGGCCGAGCGCATGGCTGCCTGTCTCCCGGCTGTTGCCTCATCGACGACCATTTCACTCTGCGTATCGGACAGTTCGGCTTCGCCGCGATTGGCCATGCCCTCTCGCTAGACAAATCCTCGGACGTTCGTGCTCCCAAAAGGGATATGGCTTTCCCGGCTGACATCTACGCAGCCGGCCAGATACTTCTAGTGATCATCTATCAGTCGACCCACACGACGCCATCCCAGCTAGCCATTAGAGCGGCAAGGGAGATGGAGCTTGAAGAGGTAGAAGCGGCGAATCACAACATCCAGCGAGACCTGACACTACTGGCAAACCGCTGCCTGCATACCAATCCCGTTTCGCGTCCCACGGCAAAGCAGCTTCTGACCGCTATGGGACGGCTGCATGTTCCCGGGCAGCCGGCATCCCGAAACGTCGTAGAAAGCATCATACGGCGCTTTGAGGCATACACGGTGACCTTAGATGAAGCGGTGCGAGTGAAGACAGAGGAGCTACTGAGCGAGCGAAAGAAGTGTGATGATCTGCTTTGCGAACTGCTTCCCCGGTAGGTCAGCGCTTTTTTTCTGTGAAAGCCGATACAACAATACGGTTCCGCTGTGAAAGCAAAGAAAACCGAGAAAGTATTTCTAAAACCTGATTATTGCGTAGAGGCGTCGTGGACCAGCTACGTAACCACGAAGCAATGGTAGCGGAGTTCTACAATTCCGTCAGTGTCTTTTTCTCCGACCTGGATAACTTCGTCGACTGGATGAGCAGCGTCCCACCCGTGGTGGTCATCGGCACCGTTACGGCGCTGTTTAGTGCTTTCGACGGAGCCATCCAGGAAATGGACGTCTACAAAGTGGAGACCGTGCGAGATAGCTACATGGTCAGTGTCAGTCACTACATTCGGACGTGCACAAACACTCTAGTCGCAAATCCGGCTTTTACAGGCCGTCAGCGGTATTCCGGTACGAGGCGACAACCAGCACGTGCTGGAAATTTGCCGTATGGCCGTCAAACTGCTGCGAGTGTTTGCCGGTACCGAAGCCAGAAGAAATTCGAAGAGTCAAGAGACGCCGGTAACAGTAGGCACTGGGCATCCGCAGACCGGTCATCACTCGTTGCTAGGATTGCGCTGCGGTATCCACTCAGGTAGGCCTTTTCTTAACTCAAGCCTCATTCGTGGTCAATGTCTGTAACTGCGTCATTCTGAAGGATATCGTTGATCTTTCTAATGATCAAGTGCCAGTATTAACACTTTGTGCGCCTGGCTTCCTGTAGGTCCCTGTGCCGCCGGAGTCATTGGCATGCGCGTTCCCCGTTATTGTCTGTAAGCGTTAATTAAGCGCTATCTAATCGATTACAGCGATGCATAATGCCAACTGAATTTTTTCAGGTTCGGCGACACGGTGAACGTGGCTGCCCGCATGAACACTAACGGTCAGGGCGGTCGCATCCACCTCAGCCAGGCCAGCCACGATCTCCTGGCTGCTGATGCCGGTAGTCACCGCTTCCGTCTGCAAGAGCGCGGGCTACTTTTCGTTAAGGTACGAGGTTGGATTTTCTGAACACTACTGCAGACTAAGTTTCCTTCACCCTCTCAAAGAGCCTGGTTAAGCAACAATGCCACATTGCAGGGCAAAGGAGACATGCTTACGTACTGGCTCGATCACTGACGCGCGCGCATCGCCCACGGCTTACGAGCCAAACTGAACAGTGGAAGAATGAAGATACGATAGTCATGCACTTGCAGTGACCTTTCCAGCATTGCGGCTCAAGTGTTAATTGACTCTGCATCTGATTCCATTATTACGCTTCAGCGGCGTCTGTCGAAAAATTATACAGTGCCCTGAACGCTCCGTAGAATCCATAATATCATTGACAAAGTTGTCTAGATATTATAGGTCGAACGAACTGAGTTTAACACACCTAGGGTTTATTAGACAACTAACAGGCGAGAGATCATATTGACAACTCGTGCTACAAAATTACAACCGAATTCTACAAAATACAGCTTAGGACAAAAAAGACGCATAATCCCACCCACAGCATAATCCCACTCACAGCATTCCGAACGCATGCGGCGCAATGCCCTGTACGACTCAGCTAAAATACCCGGTTGTCGTACAAGTGCACTTGCCACATGCGTACGGATATCTGGGTATGGGGGTATGCGTCCTTTTAGTCCTAAGCTGTACATCAAAGAAAACTCTGCTTTATCTGACCTGAAAGGGAAGGCACCGAGGCACAATCTAAAGAGGCAGTCACTATACACCGCTTCCAGTTGTTTTTAAATCTGTAATACCTTAATCTGTTTAAATCTTTTTAATAAAACATAATAGCATACGACTTTTTGCCTGGAGACGATTGTCCTCTTCCCATTTGCGCTGTAATCACTGGCTTTGCTACACGCATACATTTAATAAGAACTGAAGAGCCGTAAATATAAGAAAATAGCGTCCAAACGCTCGGTATCGCTAATAACGCACCAGTTACGTAACTTACGTCTCACACAAAGCCAACGCCATCCAGTGAACGCTTTCTCGTACTGTAACCCTCCGAATTGTCGCGCTGCTTATTGGCTTTCTTCCACTCTTTCACTTGCCAATGTTGGAAAAAAAGCTGACTGAACTTGACCTTTTGCTCTGTGCGGCCCACAATGATGGAGTGATCGTCACTTTTTGCTCCGACATACCGTCCATCCTTATAGTTTTCCAGATTGCCATTAACGGAATAATGAACGTGCTGACAGGCAGTCAATATTGCCGATGCGCGAACGACTTTCTCCTGCTTTATAGCGCGCACCTTGTCTCTGTTTTTACTGCACATGATGTACATGACCGGCAGATCCGCGCGCACCAATCACCACAGCAGGTTGCCAGATCTTCTGTCGCTTTACGGTTCGTCTCACGAAAACTTCTTCCTTATGAAAAAACACCACATCTCCAGCACGGATGACCGGGACCCGTCGGGGCACACTGGAGAAGCGGTATTTGTGCTGGCGAATCTCCATTAATGCCGATGCCTCCAGAAATCCACTCTGCACACGCAAATCCAATTAATTTAATTGCTGCAAATTTTGCCGCATCATTAACTATAAGCTATTTTGACGCAGTGAGAGCGGCAAGTTAGCTAATTTGCTACTTTGCTAAGGAAACATAAGAAAACATCAAAAAGCAGACCGCCAGTCAACATGCCCGTAGATATGATAATGCTTTTGGTTGTAAAGTCCGTACAACCAGACTCGTTCGTAGAATGTTGCTTTTAATTTGTTTTACATTTTTGAGGGGTACCCTCAGGGGCGTCTGCTGCAAATATTGAACAATTACCTACACTGAACACTTTTTTAAGAACCGGAAGTGTTAAATGTACACAGATTTTACTGCATTAATTAAATAATGTCGATGTACATGTAGTCATGTACGAGTACTGTATCTAGACAGACTGTACTAGCGCGAGAACATTTATTCATTCGCTTTTTTATAGATTCATAATCAATTTACGTAACTCGTATCATTTTATTTAAAGTCCACCGCAAGTCTTAGCTTTTGCTGCATAAAGGATTCATTTATGTACTACATGATTTATCGTAATTTCCGTGCCAGCAACCGTATCAGTCATTGAATTTATTACCGACCAGTCCAAGTCTTGTCAGGTATATACAGAGTACAGTATACACAAGGCCAAAAAACTTTGAAAATCCGCAAGTGTAAACACAACTCTAAAGTAAAGCAAACGTAGAGCAAACAGTTGGACTCATGTCTAGCTAGTGATGCATCGTGGAAGCATGCCCAAGACTTTGGCGATGATGGGATCCGTAACATGTTTGTGTTTCTTGGGGTTCTTCTGCTTTTCAGCCTGTTCCCGGATACTCTTAACCAGATCTGGGATCGCTCCGGGGGGAATGTGATAGTGTTCATCCAGAATCTTCTTGACTTCCGCATCGACCCTGTCTCTGGCGTGGGCCTTGTCTTCGGGATAGAGGATGCCCTTGACAGCTGCCTGGTACTTCTCGGCAAATTCGTGGACCATCTGCTTGGCAACTTCATCGGCGCACAGCTTGGTCAGGGTTTTGGGTTTATCTCCGCTGCTGCTGCCGGGTCGACCACCCTTGTTGCCCGATCCGGAGCCCTTGGTGGCGTTGATGCACACCACTGCAAAATCGAGCACACACTGTTAGTCATGATCGGCTACTAAGGTCATTTGATTGGGATCGAAAATCATTCCGCCACTACAGCGTAATTATCGCGATATCACTATCAACAGCCAGCGTCTACCATTGCGAGAGCAGTGCTCGGGCATCCCGCATTCGCACTTACCGGCTGTCGCTACGAGGAAGTACACAAACAATAACTTCGCCATTTTTGTACAATATTATAAAAGTTTATCGTGGTGCAAAGCAAAAAATTTCCAAAACTGAACCCTGCTAGCGAATTCCACTTGCACCGCAGACCGCAGTTATATACCTCTAATGCTAGATCCAACTGTGATCCAGATGCAGAGATAGAAACGGAATCTATCCTGCGGAAGCGAGCGATACGATATGGATCGCGAGCTATGCGGAAACACAAACGTCGCACCGTAAATCGCTGACTTTTAATATTGAAAAGTCTGGAGAACAGAAAATCAATTCTGATCGGCGCAGCTCGATCGTAAAGCGTGGAGCCCGTTCAACAGCGTGCAACGCTGTGCAGCACGTGCTAAGCCGCGCCCACTAACATAACGCAAGCCAATCAAAGGCGAGACACAACACAGACACGTAATCCGGTGGCGTAGCGTTGCGGACGTGAACGCAAGTGAACCCCCGCTCACATGCCTCTGGGGGGATGCCGAGCTCCTGTGAGGCTGGACACGCTCCCGAATCCACGAAAACGACGGTCGCCAGTGTCTGTGTGTGCTCAAAAACATCAAATTCTCTTATTCCGTTTTATCACATCAATTCCAAATGCACAATGTGAATAAAGAGATCTATATCAAAATACCATTCAATATCAATTCTAATATAAAACAGATCAACAGTTATAAGATCAACAAAAGTATTAATCAAAAGTAGACTAGGATCCTCCATTTCTGACTCGTAAAGGTCACAGGTCCTGTCCACCGTTTTCCGCACGTTAATCCATTCCGCTCTGTTGAGCAACTTCGCGCATCCGTAATGCGACTTGTAATCACAATCCGCTTGAGAATCAGGTGCGTATCAAGTACGACTTAGGAATACTGCTTCATCTTTGGAATATAGTGCGTATCAATTGTACGACTTCAAAATGAGATCCAGTGAAGGTCATGGAGGGACGTCATGTAGACAAGCGTAGTTCGCTTCCTCCCTGGTAAAGGTCATCCTTTGTCGAGATGATCCGTTGAGATGTGCGACTCATTTTGGGTTAATGGTCCCAAAGGTCATGCGACTTAAACTCCGGTGCGGTGACTCTGTTGGACATTAATGATTCCAAAGGTCATCCGAGTTCATTTCAAACTTCCATTAAAGGTCATGGAGGAACTCAGCCGATTTATAACGACTTTCAAGCATGTCTTCGCTTGCCTCCCTGGTAAAGCTTTCACTTTGACCTTTCCGTCGCACATCCCACTTCAATATGCCTCGAGCGGCCAGAGTGCCGGCAGAGTTTACCGTAACATCTCTGATGGGGCCGGCTAACTACCGCATTAAATTTACCCCATGACGCTTCCACATTAGATCTTTTACTCTTGTTCGCCGCTTGTGGCCCAGCTTCCGTACGAGAGATCCGGCTTGATTACCGTTATTTCTCTCGTTGAATTTTGACACTGAACCGATTAAAGAGATTGCCGGCATAATTACCGTAGCATCTCCGATGGGGCCGGCTAATAGACCGAATCAATTTCAACCCCATTAATATTTCCACCTGTTGTCTTTCTCTTTTTCGCCGCTTGTGGCCCCCTTTCGTCTTCAAGAGATCCGGCTTGGTTACCGTAGTTTCTCTTGCCGATTTGTAACACTGAGTCGCTTAAGGAGGAGAGCCGGCTAACTGCCGTAACTACTCCCTTGGGGCCGGCATTATAGACCGAATCAATTTTAACCCCAATCGATGCTCCACATGATTTCTTTATCCTTTGCGGTTCTGTGCTATAAACGCTGAAAACAACAAATACACAAATACAGTTTATGTAGACAAGTCATATCGCCCTCATATACAACACCATTTTTCATTTTTGTGACGTACCGACAAATGCCGTAGACGTCCTTTTAATAGTGTGATCCTAACGACCAACACTATTCCATTTCATTTGAATCGTCTTCCTCGCCGTCTCTCGGCGGGCGTTTCTTAGTGCTTTCCGGTTGATTACGATCAGATGTTCGGTCGACTGGTTCCGTTGAATCAACCGCCATGACCTTTGCTGGGTCAACTGCACGTTGGCCACGACCTTTCCCTTGGCGACTGCGTTTTACCGCCTCGACTCGATGGCGTGCGTCGTTTTCTTCTAACCGTAGTCTCCGGTTATTAGGGTCGTCCGCCAATCGGCGCTGTACATCGGCAAGATTTTCGCGAAGCTGCTGGTTTCGCAGGCCGCGTCTTCCTATCTGGTTAGGAGCGCGTTCTGGGCGTCGGTCGCCTTTGTTGACCAGAAATTCGTTAACGTAGACATCGACCCCGTCTACTGGTTCCACATAATCGCTCCCCATGGTATCTTTGATGCGATTAATCCTCTCTTCCACTTGGGAGGCATGACGCGCTACAAGATTGCCCTTTTCCATTCGTGTCCTGCACTTCTTTAACGCTTTGCGAGCCGTGTGGGCTATCCCAACATGTTCCATAGGTTCTCCCAACTTAACGACGTGAGGTCGGAAAAATGGTGGAATATCGTCCTTCATTGTGTTGGACACCAATTGATTCTGTGTTTTATAATGTGCCAGTCTCGCAGCAAAGACTTTTTGCCCCATCCTTTTTGCGGCATAGTCTTTCGGGTCCACTTGTAGTCCGATTGATGCTCTAGCTGCGAGCAACTTGAAGGCCGGGTTCACGTGTCGTAAAACGAACTGAGCCACATATTCCTGTCGTTCGTCATAGTCTGTGTACCAGAATTGTGTCATGCCGACTGGGTCAGTCGTGTCCAATGGCACATCCAATAGACTCAAATCCAGCAAACTGTGTAATCCGTTTCGTCGGATGGGGAGATAACAATCTCGTGCGGAGTCACGAGGAATGTACAACCGGCGGAAAGTTCCTTCTTCTACTCCCCTCTTAATCTCCCTAGCGTAGCCGGAATCCAGTAAGAATTGACGTAGCTGATTCAGTATGGTGCCAATCTTGTTAGCTTCAACCGAATCGTTTTCGATGCCAAAGTATCGACAAATTTCCACTGTCTGTTCGTCGATATCATTCATATTATATTCCATATCAATGGAATCGGGTTGTCGGTTATTGAATCTGGAAATTTTCCGTTGCTCATTTACGCGCCGGTCACTCGCTTCACGCTGAACTTCTTGTTCGCGTCGCTCCTCAAGTTCTCGCTGCGGCGGTTCATTACTCGCCGATGAGGCAGGTTGTAGGTCACTATCAAGAAGTACATTTCTTCGATGGGTCACATTTTCTTGAGACGCTTCGACGACTGAGTTGGTCCCCTCCATCGTATCGTCTTCCTGTACGTCTTGTATCGCATTCACGATTGGATCAACTACATGGACCGTTGACTCCATTCGCTGATACTTCGGGGGTGAGTCTTCCCGCTCCGTGCTCGATGACCTTTTACTTGTGCCCGGTTCAAAACTCGCATAGTACTTGGCTCGTTCTTGCCATTGCTTGTCCTTTGGATCTGGTGTTCGATTTCGGGTACGTTCGCGTCGCTTGTCCCATGACCTTTCAGGTGTTGACATGCGGACATTACGATTACGGAATGGAACTCCCAACGGCACCTGATGACCTTCTTTTTCAGGCTCTGTGCGGAATGTTTCCGCACGCCGTTGTTCTTCGCGTCCCCTTGTTGCAGCCAGAATCTTCGCCGTATCGATTTTCCGCTGAATACCCGTTTCCGTTATCTCATTTCCATGGCGTACCCATCCTCTTCCGCCACGGTAATCTCGGTCGCGAGAATGTTCGCGTGACCTTTCGCTGTGATAGTCGCGTGTCCTTTCGCGAGAGTACTCGCGTGACCTTTCACTTCGTTTTTCAGAAGTCCGCTCATGTTCGCGTGAATGTCCGCGTGACCTTTCTCTATGCGGAGGCGATCGCGGTCGTATAAAGCCTTCATCCCGTTTGAAACTTCTGAACGCGTGCAAGACGTCACTCTCAGTTTGACGGGATCTGCGCAGCTCTGCCATACGTTCTTCCACTGCTTTCTTTATGTATGGCGCCGGAGCAAAACCTTTCTGCAGTCTCATTTTTTCCCGTAACAACATGTCAAATACGTCCTGTTGCATAGCCGCGGGGTCTTTCGTCAACGTGTCGATCTGAATGATGAGAGACTGACGTATTAACTGCGCTTCATCGTCGTTTAGACTTGCTGTTGGGACAGTTGAGCTCGACGTGCTGGGCATTGTCTCTCGTGCGGCCTGTTCGCTTGCCCTTTTGTTCTCTGCGTTAATCTTTGCACGGAGTTCGTCTTCCAATTTCTGAAGTCGCATCTTCGCTTGATCCTCTTCAAACTTCTGTCGGTATGCGTCTGTTTGTGGGCATTTCAGCGGCTCCAAAGTTTCATCCCAACCACTCTCATTATTCCGGATCGCTTCCCGATAGCGATCCTCAAGTAGCATGCGCTCTTCAACTGGGATGCTGCCGTAATTCCTCGCGCTGATGAGGTTTCGAAAGACATCCAGATTCCCGCGTTTAGCTTCCATGATCCCGACGAGTGAGACGATGTGTGGGTCTCCCAACTTGTGAATACATGTGTAACAGGGGAACTTTTTGTCGACCTTTTTGTTATTTCGTAGACAGTCCGGACACTTGGGGTTATAGCCCGTAGATCTGTCTATCTCCGATGCCGAGCTCTTGGAAGAGGCTTGACCTTTTTGTGCCATTTTATCCGTTTAGAATCTGTAATCAGAAAACAATCCCTCATAGTAAACTTTCCACGTTAATCCTTTCCATTCCTATCCGTTATCAAGGCTTTCTATCATTTTTACGCCTATTCCGTTACTGAGCTGAGACTTTCCTAGCTCCTGCCGCCCTTTCTCTCACTGTAACGTGGTGACCTTTCTCACGTTATCAGCACTTTCTGACTCCTGTGACCTTTTCTGTTAGTCTTATCATTGCTACTTGTAGAGATGACCTTTTCACTTTCAGTGTTTCTTAAAACTTTTCTCTTTCGTTTTTAACTATTTTATGCTTTTTCCTGTAATATGCAGGGTTCATTACTCGCTGCATATTACACTTGTCCTGTTCATTCAGATTCCTTCGCCGACGGTTGATATGGTTTAAAGTCAACTCGGCCATCCTGTTTGATATGGAGCACTTCATCTGCAACAAGTGCCTCTACGGCGTTCTTGATCCATTCCTTGTCACTTTCAATGTTCAATTCTCCAAGTTCGTAGTGAACGGCCATGAAGTTTGAAAGGTCACCCCAC